CTCTCGTTTGTCTCTCTTTTCGAGGAAAGAAGGGCAGCCATCTGCTTCACGCAATCCAGGCCCCGCCGCTGCTGAGGCACGGAAGGGAATGAGCTCGTGGGGATCGCAGGTGGATCTGGCCGATGAGTTTGAAGAGGGGTTTACCTCTCGCGCTCGTCGGCTGTGCACGAGAGTGAGCCGCTGGAGGATGATGTTATTTCATTAAAATTGTCTGATTCAGGGGCCAGTGCTCTGCTGGGATCAGTCCAGCAAAAGCAGGACATGTCTGAGGAGGGCAAAGAAGCTGAGGCTGAGCCTTCCCAATCCTCCTGCCCTGCGTATGATGAGCTTTTGAAAGTTATGGATCGCGCCACGGCCAGACTTTATTTGCCGTGAAGCGGGCGAAGAAAGTGACGTTGCGAGGTATCTCGATGAACATTATTTTACTGGCCATAACCCTCCAGCTCAGGTGAGCCTTCCTTTCTTCCTGATCTCCATATAGAGATCGAGAAGGAATGGAAGAGGCCATTTTTCCTCACACATCCATCGATTCCAGCATACGAGTTATGCCAACATCGAGACAATGCGCGAAAGCGGTTCTGAGAAGATACCCCTATAGGGAGACTCTGGCCAGCTATCTCTCTATGGGTGAGACGTCCTCTCTTAAGACTACCTGCTTGACATCTCGCTCATGTGGCAGGGTAAACTTCCTCAGCTGGCGAAGGAAGTACTGTCACACTTAGCCTAGTTCCTAGCGAGGAACGAGGAGACAAGGTATTAAACTCACGAAAGCCAAGGGAATACTCGGGGCAGATGGGAACACAGGAAACACAGGGTTTGACGTTCAATCTCAGACAAAGCCAGACGGCACAGACTGGGGCTAATAATCACTGGGCACTTAGGGGAACACAGGTGCATGGAATGACTAATTAACTGAGACACGGCACACCTGGGGAGGGAAAACACAACACAATGAGTCCAGGGGCGTGACAAGTACAACCTCCGCTGGGGAATTTTTTTATATCAAGACAGGCACCCTGCAATTCTGGCCAAATTAAAGATACGTTGTGTGTGAATTTGCATGATATAATGTAAGCATCATTAATGACCCCTTGTGTTTCATAAAAAACAAAAAAAACATTGTTTAGGGAAATTAAAGAATGATTTAATAAAAATGAGAATGGTTAGTATGGTTAGTATTAGTATGGAATGGTTTCTAACTGGTCTGATCTAAGCCCGCAAAACACTTCTTATTCAGTGGTACAGTATTGCATTATTTGTGGATTATATTTAATAGTTTTACTTTGCATAAACATTTGCAATTAGTTTTAAAAGGTAACTGTTCCCAGATAGCACGCGTACGTCTGCAAGATGTCTGTTAATTTTCTTTATTTGACAATGAGGAAAATCAAATTTACTCCGGGAACACAAGTACAGTCTATCCAATGCTGAAAACTCATTAATAATAAACTTAAGTAAACTTTTTATTCTAGGTGTGTTACAAAAGCAATGTCAAACCGAGTGAGGAAAGTCCTAACGTTTATGAAACATCAGTATTTCAACATTGTGCAGTGCAAGAATGACTCAAACGACAGATGTTACAAACACTCTTACTGATAACCTTCAGGCCATTGTATAAAAACAGATACTTAATTTGTGCCAAGAATCGAGGGTTTTGCAATATATATATATATATTTATCTATACAGTAACAGAGAGGAGGAGCCTGATCTGACAGATATTTAACAGTGTTTGTGTCACATTGAACAACATCGCAACACAAACATTACTGTTTTATTCTCCATCATTTACCTCACAAAGCATTTAACGTTCAGATAATCCTTCAGCAAAATAGTTTTTACTTTCTTCAAGATTCTTCAAGGAGAGATTGCAGTAAGTTCATGTTTCCTTCTAATGTCAGTGTGATTTGATCATTATAAATGAGGATGATGATCAGTCGTGTTTCTCTCTGTAGATGACGGTGTTTGTCGCGGCGCTGCTCTCTGTTCTCATGGGGTTTACTGTGTCTGTTTCTGATCGATTCAAGCCCGAGTGGATCTGGAGGACTTTGAAGGAAGGAAAGGTTTCGCTCTGTACTCGTCCTTCTCTGTGGATCCTGAAGCTGACGGCTATAAACTGCATGTTTCAGGATTCACTGATGGAGGAGCAGGTAGGACGCTTTCATTCATACTCATGAAAACACATTGATAAAATCACACTTGAACAGATGTTTACTTGCTCACAGACTTTCAAATCTTTTTCGTAATTTCACTGAAACATGTTCTTCATGTAAAGGAGGGTGCTTCAATGTATCAAATAGACCCTGATAACATAATACATCTCAGAGACGTCTATTTGACGTCTGCATTTTCATCTGCGAGATGTATTAGTCTTTACTCAAATGCAGTACGTCTATGGGACGTTTCCTATCAGATGTCAAATGTTTATGATTTAAAATGCATGCAAAACTGACATCTTAGAGACGTCTATCAGATGTTTGTACACAGCAGATGCTTTCCAGATGAAGAGATCTTTAACAGACATCGTGGAGATCGGCCAAACAAACAATGATCAGGGCCGATTATAACCTGTCAGTCAAAAGGAGGTGCATGTCATCTGTGTTCATGCATTAGCCCAATCTCACTTTAACACAGGTTTTTAACAGCGCGGGTTCTCTTTGACCCTATTCAGTTCAGGTTTACTATAATAAAACCATGGTTAATTTTCGTAAGGGTTAAGTAGATTTAATATCAGTTACTTTAATACTTTTACTTCTGTATTTTTCTGGTAACAACTTTGACTGAAGTATGACGATTGCACACTTTATGCACCACTGGTGTTTGCTGTCATTGAACCTTCTCAGTAGAGACTCTTTCCATTCATCCCCAAACTCTCTTGTCAAGTCCCTTTCAAACGCCAGTTGCACTAAACTGGCCTTTTGTCATATTTTCCAATATATCAGTATCGGCAAATAAATTAAATATCATAAATATAAATAAGTCATAAATAAGATGTTAATGTCCTCAGTGACCCTCTTCTTCTCTGCAGGCGACTCTTTATCTGGCCATAATGGATACAAGTTCTCCACCTTCGACAAAGACCAAGACACCTATGAAAATAACTGTGCCAAACTGTATCTCGGGGCATTTTGGTACGCAGCCTGTTACAATACAAACCCCAACGGTGTGTATTTATGGGGAGAAGATCCCATCATTAACGCCATTGGAAATGTTTGGTACTCATGGAAGAGCAATTATGCCATTGGCATGAAATTCATCAGCATGAAGATCAGACGTGTGCTCTAGAAGCATCAGTGTTTTCAGGAGCAAACATCCCATGTTGTTTTCACTATATTACAAATGTGAAGCTTTAAGCTTTTATTTTCCTCAGTCTAAGCTTTGCTCTGCTTCTGGTCTTTTGATGAACTATTATGTAAATTAACTTCCAGTAAACTCCTGCATTTAAAGCATTATGTCTCTATGTACATCGTCAGATGTGGTGTTCTCATCAGAAATCAATCATTTTATGAACTATAAGTGAAATAAAATGGTTAAACAAAGGAGATACAGTTTTAAACAAGTTAAATAAATGAGGAAATCATTAAATGAGTGAAATAAATGAAATGAAATCATTACTCCCACTGCATTCCAGTCTGTTCTCTACTCCTGTATTTCATATTTCCTGCAAATAATACTCTACGTCTCTAATGTTCACAAAATCCAGTCGATGTTTCCCTATAATATATAATTCACTGGGTCCTATTCTTGGTCTTCCTTTTGATTCTTGGTCCTACTTTAATCATTCTTTAGTAATTCTTTCCCATCTTCCCTTCTGATCTTGGAAGCCTGATATCTGTGTCTATAATTTCTTCTTTTTTTTTTCAAATCTCGTTTGGTTATTTTGTCTACCTTTTCATTTCCCGTAATGCCTATATGTGCAGTGATCCAAACCAATACAACCTCATTGTATCATTGTTTCATAAAGTAGCTCCTGATGATTTCTGGTCATACCTGATCTGAGACTCCATCAGACAGAGACGGAGCCACAACCGATCAGGACTTCGTTACGTTTGCTTCGCTCAGTCCATTCTAAGGCTTTCAAGATGGCATACAACTCAACATGTTACACGCCTTCTCTACACACTGAGCCGTACTTGTCAGCACATCATGTCACATTTGTTTTTTTCTCAGGATTGTGGGATATAAAGTCTCAATTGTGAGTTAAAAAGTCCGAATTGTGTGATAGAAACTCGCAATTCTGAGAAAGTCAGAATTGTGAGATATTAACTAACAATTCTGGCTTTATAACTCGCAATTGAGACTTTATATCCCACAATGCTGACTTTATAACTGTAACAGGGACTCTGCATTTCAAACCCAGAAATGCAAGATATGTCAACACAATATTAAACATGAACTGATCTCCTCCTATATTCATTTTGTGCAAAAACACACAAAACAAATTAATTTCAACATTTACTCTCCATATCGAAGCATGCAGGTAAAAATCGTGTCCCACTTAATTTCTTAATTTGAATAATGTTGATATGAAATATGTAATAATTGTAGTTCTTGAAATTGATCAGTATAATTTCTCCATTCTCAAATATTTTGATTAAAATATAACAAAAATATCTAAGTAGATTTTAAAAATATTAATTATTAGTCAAATAGCCTACTAAATAGCTTACTTTCATGAAAAAAACTTAAATAATAGATGTACATTTTAGACAAAATAGCCATATATAGACTAACACAAACAAAACGTGAGGAAACGCATTTAAACACACACACACACACACTCACACACTCACACACACACACACACACACACAAACACTCACACACACACTCACACAC